TTTATGCTGTTTTTATTGTTGAGCGGTGGTTGTTTGCAGGTTTTGTGTGCGATGAGCAAAGGAAGCCGAATCTTTGGTCCGGAGCGGGCGCGCCGTGGTGATACGGCCGGTGACACGCAGCATCAGCCCTTGGACAGCCTGTGGGACGAGAATGCGGACAAGTACAAGTGCTGCTGCCGCACGTTGCACGTCACTCGGGCCACACTCTACATCGCCTATGCACAGATGGTGCTCACATCCGTGTTCTCGCTCTTCTTCACATTCTACTACGTACAGGTACAGCCGCCACATGCATTCATTTTTTTTTCAGATTGTATTTTTCCCCTCTTTTTTTTGCTCTCAAAAATCGAATGAAGCAAAACTCGGGCCATTCTCTGCTTTATTCTTGAAACATAAATAGCAGCTAATCGATCAGTTTTTGCGGTTTAACGATCATCATTTTGAGGTTTCTGTACGAACATTTTTTATGCGTTTTGTGCTGTGTAACAGCAGTATCAAACGCATATTGTCATGGGGTTGTCTGTGTGTACCGCAGCAACTTGTCCGCAACTTTCAACTCGGGAACCACAAAAGCTATGAAGCTGAAAATTTAACGCAGCAACTTGTCCGCAACTTTCAACTCGGGAACCACAAAAGCTAGGAAGCTGAAAATTTAAGGGGGCAGCAACTTGTCCGCAACTTTCAACTCGGGAACCACAAAAGCTAGGAAGCTGAAAATTTGGGGGAGCGTTCCCCACCCACGTGTGACCCCGCAGATTTAAATTCAGCTCCCCTGTACCGACGGATAACACGCATGGCCCCGTGAAAGTTTTTTGCAGGCAAATTAATGTCTCGGAACCACGGAGTCTAGGACGATGAAATTTTACGGTAATGACCCCTTGCCCACGTTCAACCTTGCCTATTCAAATTCAGCGTTCTCGCGCTCTTGAGTATCACTACGCCTTCGTGAAAATTTTGGCGGGTAAACTGTTAATTCGGGATAAAGATATTCACCCTTCAAGGTTTCGAATTCAGCTTTCACGCGCTAGTGCGTGAAATTTTTAGCTGTTTTCCAATGTCTGAACTATTTTTGCATAGACTAGAGTACAAAGCAGTGAAAATCATTAATAGGTAATCGTTCGACGGGCTGAACTGCACAAAACTCATGATCGCACCGGCTAGTCTGGTGCGCGTTGCTATTTATTTATCTTGGTATTACTTTTAGAAATAACGATTGACACTTGAAATATGGAAAGTAAAAAAAAAAACTAAACAGAAGACTACGATGTCTTTTTTCTTTATTTTTAGGCAGTAAGTGGACGTTTGGAGCCGGATCACTGGATCAATCAACTGGGCGAGAGATACATTTGTACGAGCTGATTTCTTTTCATCTCAAAATACTGTCATTTTTTTTTCGGGCACTTAGATTGTGTTTGAATTTGTAACAACTCAGAGTGTTATTTGTTGTCGCTGGACCAGTTTTTGCAGTTTTTCTGTTTATTTTGGGACCAAATTAGTTTACATTTCAGCATCACTTCTTTTTGCGGTCACTTTACAGCTGCTTCTCGTCCTCCTGCTTGTTCACGGATTACGCACTGAACGTCGCTCCTTCTTGCTTCCGTTCATTGTATTCGCATCAATTGCAATTCTCCTCGGCTTTGCACAGGTTTTTTTAAATCTCCTGTTTTATTTTTTTCCATTTTCCAGCACTTGAGAGAGGTGGAATTTGTATCAGTTACGTAAGCGACCGGGAGTGGGGAGGGGAGAAGGGAATGAGCGTGATACATTAAGTATTTTGTTGAAGCACCATTTACATGTACATTCATCTTGGCCTTTCATTTGCGTTATGTTTTGCAGATCGGACATGACTTCATTGCGTTCATGCGCCCCTCCACCCATCCTCTATATGACAGCAAGTTAGTCTCATTGCTCATAAACATTTTCATGCTTTTTTGCATCGATGCAATGCAAAAAACGCATATTGACGAAGGGTTGTCTGCGTCCGTGTGTGTGTGGCTGTGTCTGTTTGTTCGTCTGTACCGATTTTTCTTCTGGAGACCTACAAAAGCTACAAGGCTGGAACTTTGGTAAGTTAATCTACATGCACATACGGGCTCTCATCCCAAAAAAGGGCATTCTTAGCTGCGTGATACTCACGTACTTGCCCGTGAAAGTTTTTTGCGGGGCAAGCTGTTA